CTCTGTAGCTTTTCTACAGAGCTTCTATTAAAACTGAAGCTGTTTTATAACTTAAATGTTAAGGGATACATAGGACATTCTCTGTAGTGTTAACAAGTTTATAAGCAGGTAAAAGATAATGTGGTAATTGCTTCCATTTTGATTGAAATAGGCAATGAAAATGTTTGACCACAAATGTTTTTATATACATTTATGAAATATTGATTGTAGTTATTCATACAGTTAAAAGATGCTCAATTTCAATTTTGCATCACTGATATATGTTTGCCAACCACAAAGATCTGGTGCAACTTTACCCTTTTTTAAATTTCCCCTGCCTGTCTAATGTAGATTCAGGCCTTCCAACATCTCATCATATTTTAGTGATGCTAAGACCATATTCATGACTTGAATTATATCATTTTTTTCCTGTAATGTAATAATGAGATTTTTCATTTCTGAGCTTGTATTATTTTCCTCTGACAGAATCTTTATTTTCTCCATTTTAGACACTGGAAAATTAGCAGCATCTAAAATCTCAACTGCAGTGAAATTTTAGACAGCCAAAGGAATTTGAAAACAAATCCAGAATTAAAGGAGCAAAATATAAATATAGATTGGTGGCCATATCTCAACTACAATCGAGATGCAAAAAAGACGTAAAAGAATATGGAATATACATAGAATTACAACAAATAGATAAAATTTTAATTGGCCCGGAAAATAAATTCATAACAAAAATTTACAAATATTTATTAGAAGTAACATTAGAAGAAGAAAAAGTTAAAGGTTGCATGATAGCGTGGGCCAAAAACTTTGGTTACAACATAGATCTAGTGGATTGGGAAAGAATTTGGAACACAAATTATAAACTAACACAATCAGCAGCACTTAAAGAAAATATATACAAAATGTTTTATCGTTGGCATTTATCACCAATAAGATTGGCTAAAATGTACCCAAATATGAAGCCGACCTGCTGGAAGTTTAAAAAAGTACAAGGGACCTATTATCACATATGGTGGACCTGCCCGGAAACACAAAAATATTGGACAAAAATTTGGAAATGGGTGCAAGAAATTACAGGAGAACAGATAAAATACAAACCTGAAATCTTTCTACTGGGAATAATCAAAGGGAAATATACAAAGAAAATTAAGTACATATTAACACATCTGCTAACTACAGCTAGAATAGTATTTGCCCAATGCTAGAAACAAAATAATACCCCCTCGGATGAATTAGTGATAAAAAACCTTTGAATTGTGCAGAGATAGACAAATTAACACTGAAATTAAAAGATAAAGAAGAGTCGGAATATTATGAAATTTGAAACAATTGGTACAAATGGCTGCAAAACAGGAACAAAATGAATTAAGCCAAAAAACAATATATATAAATATATATATAGAACTGTGTATAAAGTGTGTAAATATAGAAGTGAAATATTATATATATGTACAGGTATGATGACATAACAATGTTGATGTAATGACTGTAAGGTGTTGTAGAAGGGAAAAAATAATTAAAAAAATCTGTCGCAAGATAAAATCTCAACTGCAACTGAACATGGACAGGCCTCGACTATCCAATTAACTGAATTTTGTGTTGAATTAAACACGACCTAGTATCAATTTATAATTCACACTAAACTGAATATTGAATTATTCAAACACTCATTAATCACGATATAACTGTACAAAGCTGTTGCCACTCTGTACATCTGGTGAGTACTTTTCCTCTGCAACAGAGATGGTGACAGGACAGTGATATGTGTCGCATCTTGTTGCTGCCTCTTTAATGTTTTTTTTAATTTAAACACATATTTTTCTAAGCATCTGGATACCATGCAATCCCAAGAAAAGCTGCTTGTCCTCCAGGTACAAGGGCCACAGACCACTAACCAAATATTAAGAGTTCCATCCAGTGCCAGAGAATATACGTAGTACAATAAATTCTGACATAATGATTGAACATAATATTTACCATTGCAGCATAACTTTAGCTAATCTGCTTTAGAGTTAGAGGTTTCAAGACATTTCTCATTTTAAATTATTATTGCTTGGTAATATGTCAAACTATTTTTTTTAAAAAAAATAGTGATTCTGTTCATATTCTCCAATGCTTTTTGAGGTGTGTGTGTGTGTGTGTGTGTGTGTGTGTGTGTGTGTGTTTGGCACTCAATTCTACTGACATAGGGAATAAATCTTCTAAAACAGCAACAACAATTTTAGCAGTAACAGTGTCAATGATTCTAGTGGATAATCTCTATCCTTACGCAAATGTCCTTTGTTTTGTGCTCCAGTGAGCAAGCTACTGTACCAATATTTTTTGGCACTAGTACAAGACTGAATCCATGGAAGTACGTGTATATTTACACAAAAGAGACTTCTAAGCTACAAAAATCCCTCTTGTTTAGTTACACTAATTTCCCCTGAATGAAGTTTGTATGTAAGCCAAAACAATAGTAGTTATCCTGTCCTCTAGAGTTCATTCCCAAATGAAAAATATGAATAATTGAAAATTTCCGAGGCAGTCCTCCAAAACAGTTTTCTTAATGTATTGATTTATCAGAGATGAAAACAAAACCTATATTTAGCATCTATATATTTTCCGGGTTAAAATTAAATATTCCCACAGTACTATTTAAAATATTTTATATATGAAAGAAGCTTAAAGCACAATACAATACAAATATTCAAGATACTATCAAATAGATTACAATGGTAAAAATAGAGAAGCAGACTTAATTTACCACATTTGCGATTAAATATTAACAATTAAAAAAACAGGAAAGTAATCTGTTGAATTTAAGGAGACCTTAGAGTACAACAAAGGGAGCTGATGAAGAAAAGTTACATTAGGATGATGGATCAAATTCTAGCAAGGGTGATGATGTCCAGATTAATAACATCTAGTGGGCATTCTCTGTCAAGACATCTTGAATTTAATATAAACCTAAAACTGGAAAAACAGAAAACTGAAAGTTTTAAGTAGAAAAGTCTAAGGCACCATCTGTCTCAGCACTGTCCAATCCAAGAACCAGTGTTTCTAGGAAAGGTGCTGTTATAGATACTTCTTAATATTAAAAGACTGATTTTTTTAGTCACATGCAAGAGAGCTGTTTTCTCTATTGCTCCCAGGTGTAAGATAGAACCTTTCTGGAGTTCAGTTTATTTATTTATTTTTAATTTATGAAAACCTTTAATCTGCCCAATAGCTAATGAACTGATGTAGGGAAAGTTCTTGAAAAAGTAGCGAGATTTCTGCTAAAGATGAAATGGATTATCCCAATTCCTTGTAGCCGGGGTTAGTATGATTATGGAATGAAAACCACATTGCTTTAGTGGATGAATGGCACCTGGGTCTGGATGTTAGAAATAAGCCTTCATCTGACTTCAATAGGTGGCGCAGTGGTTAAATGCAGCACTGCAGGCTACTGCTAGATCAGCAGGTCAGCGGTTCAAATCTCACCGGCTCAGGGTTGACTCAGCCTTCCATCCTTCCGAGGTCGGTAAAATGAGGACCCAGATTGTTGGGGGCAATATGCTGACTCTCTGTAAACCACTTAGAGAGGCCTGAAAGGCCTATGAAGCGGTATATAAGTCTACTGCTATTGCTATAATACATCAATCTTGGCATCTTTATAAACTATATCTGAGTTCATGGGAAAACATGAGAAATATGAAGTTGCAGTGGGTCCATTCCTTCCTAAGCAGACAGTTCTAGTCATTACAGTGAGGGAAGGAGAAGTTGACCCAGCAGCTGTTCTTGTGTGGTCTACTCCTCTCCCTTGTTCCTTAATATCTACATGAAGATGCTGGGTCAGATCACTTATTACTATGGTTGGAAATATCAGTGAACCTCTGACATGAAAGGAGACATACTTTGATCCCTAACCCTAACCCTAGCCCATCAAAATGTATCACAGAAAACTTGAAAATGTGAACAGTCAATGGAGATAGTAACTAATTAGTCTGAATAGAATAACAGATGAATTTTTTATGGGAACAAGAAGTCATTTGGATTACTTTGGTTTCAGGTTGATGCAGAACAGTTGATGAAGGTCAATTATGGTGTAATGTGTTGCTTGACACAAAACAGTTGTGGTATGAAAGGCAGCAGCCCATATGGCTTTGTGCAGACTCGATCTCTCCTGTGAGAACTGCACTGGCTGCCAATTCACTTCTGGGTCCAATTCAAGGTGCTGGTTGTTCAGTTTAAAACCCTGCATGGCTTGGGATCAGGTTATTTGAAGGACTGTCTTTTCTCAGTCACAGCTACCCAACCCACCTGAGTGAGGAGGCAGAAATGTTATGAGTCCCCTCTCCTAAGGAGGCACCTCTGGCAGGACTAAGAAGAAGGACCTTCTCCATGGTCACTACCTCACTATGGAACATCATCCCCACAGAGATAAGTTTGCCCCCCACTTTGACACACAGAAACTTTGCAAGACCCACTTGTGCCAATGGAACTGGATAAACCAGAGTGCAGTGGATCCCATCAGATGGCTTATTAATGGTTGTTGTCAAGGGAGGTGGGAGATTATTGCTATTCACAGCAATAGCAAAAAAAACAAAACCTTAGAGTTATATACTGCTTCATACTGCTTTACTGTCTAAGTGATTTACAGAGTCAGCATATTGTCCCAACAATCTCGCTCCTCATTTTACCAACCTCAGAAGGATGGAAAGCTAAGTCAACCTTGAGCCAATGAGGATGGAACTCCTGGTAGTTGGCAGAATTAGCCTGCAATACTGCATTCTAACCTCTGTGGCACCATGGCTTATTTTTTTAATGATATTTTTATTTTTGTATGCTGCCTAAAGTCACTGAGAGTGAGTTGGGTGGCTATATAAATTTTCACAAACAAAGTTTGTTGAAAGAGCTTAGTACATGGCAGCTATATTAACCAATGAAGTCTCCAGAAATTGTCTATGTGAAATCACTAATTAATTAATATTAGGAAATAAAGTGAAAAAAACAGGTAGAGTATAATTTAAACATAAGGCTAAACAAACCTGGGCAGTGTATGGATCCAATGCTTGCACCTTAGGAGCCTGGATGTTTTCAGGTCTTGAGGGCCTGGTGGTGACTTCTACCCAAGAACTGCTGTTAATGCCACCTTGAAAAGTGCTTGCCAGTATTCTGTATTCATATTCTTTCCAAGGGCTGAGACCAGCACTTTGGTCTAGATAACTTTTGGAGCAATTGGAAGGAAAAGAAGCTACTGTGGACACGTGTTCAGTTCCCTTTACTCTCCTCTCTATTGTGAAGTTTTCAACTGGTCCATTTGGATGAAGAGGAGATTGCCATGACACAAGCACAGATGTTGGCGTGTCTGAGTATAGTTCTGGAGCAGGGATGTCTTCAGGTGCATCTGGAAGGGTTTGTATAGGTAGGCTCTCAGAGGAAAGGGAGCACCCTTTGGAAGTGCATCCTTCCACTTGAAATCGGTAAACTGTATATGGTTGCAAGAAAGATGTAATATATTTTGATCTAGCTCCTGGTATAGTAGCGTGCAGCTGGTTGTTTTGATAGATGTTGTAATGGGTGACAATGCCATTTGGCCTTGAAGGAGGCTGCCAGGAAATGGTTGTTTCTCTGGATTTCACTTCCAAGATTAGTGGTGGGTCAATAGGTCCTGGTTCTACAACAGAAGAAGAGTTGCGGGGGAGAATAACATCATTGCTCCTGATGTGTAGCCATATAATGCAAAAATGAAACTTTTTCACTGGAAAATACCTTTGTTTCTTAAATACAATATAAGCAATGGAGAGAACCCACCCTCAAGTTCCCTTTACTGTAATGAATGCAATAGCGAACAGAGATTATGTAACTATTTATTCTTTGAAACCTATCATTTAGTTCTCAGGTGAATTGAGAATCCCATTGGTCTCATTTTATAATAACATTATAATATAATACAATTTGTTCAGTTTGGGCTTAATATGATGGGTGAACCCATCCATTATGATTTAACAGTATATAAACCAGCCCCATGGCTAATCCTGGCTTAACTCAACCATTATAGTCAATGATTCTACAGAGTATTAACTTAGCCCACTTTTACAATGATTTAGAGGAATACATTATGGATTCTGCTAGTGGAGTGTATTCTTTAGGGACTCTGCTCAGAACACTGCCACTGGCAGAAAGCAATTCTGATTTTCCATTGTAATTCCCAACTTCCATGACCAGATTTTAGGGAAAGATGGAGAACTGAAGGTACAAGTGACAAGTGGGGTGAATGTCAACTCCTCTCCCATTTATTCAGTGAAAAACATCTGCTGAATCAAAAGCCTCCCATGGGTGAGAGAACCTGTCCAACAATTAGAAGCTTTTGCTGAATACAAACCCCTTCTAATTAAGAATCAACATAGAATAGTTCCTCCCATAATTAAAACAAGGCACAAGACCAGGAATTCCAATGTTCAATTTTGATATGCTACTAACATGAACTACAATGGAAAAATAGTGTCAGAGAAGAACTATTTATTTTCCTTCAAGGGTTGGATTTCTTAAAGGCTAATATAAATTAAACATTCTTTCCTAAGTGAAAGTTTGGTATGATGCAACAGGAAACTTCCCAGACCTTTTAACATTAATACAACATTACTCTATTATTTCTGATATCAAAAGCACTTTTCTTCTATCCATTGTTCTATGCAAACCTAAAAGGAGATGCAGAACTAGGCTAAAATATATGAAAGAACTTCTCTCAAGAGAACTTCCCTTGTGCTTCCCCATCCGGTTCCCCCAATTATATTAGAAGAACAGCCAAACCCTTGGGAGAAGATGATGAGCAGAGGGGACAAGGAAAGGGGAAAAACAGCTTGTCTGCCATATCCACTCCATGGCCAAATTGACTCATCTGAATTAATGAATGAATTTTAAGAATTAATTCATAATTTTAAGAAAAAAATTGAAACTGGGCAATAGTAATTTTTTAAACTTTTGCTGCTTTTCTTTCAGAACACATTCTTAATTACTTTCAGCACACCATTGTAGCAAGCCTGCATGTTTCATAGCCCACTAAAGCTAGTCCTATGCTTCTTGTTACATATGCAATATTTATTCTCTCTTCTGTTTATCATTCTAATCCATTTTTTGCAATTTATCTACTTCCTGTTAATATTGTAGGTGATTTTTTACTGTGACTGTGACAGAAGCTGCCGATTTAGCTCTTTCACCTACTGATAAATAAACAATGCACAGATCTGACCTTTAGGTTAACAGGTTTTATGCTTGCTCCACTCAGCACTCTAACAGATTCAATTATCATAAAGGTTCAGGAGCTTCCATGAATACTGAAAAAGACGAACCATATGCCCGCATAGGTTTTGTGGAACAGCAAATACTCGGCAACTGCCCCCCCTCGAGAAATCCCTTAATTGTAAATAATTTCACCATGCCACACAATCAAGTCACCTTGAATGCAAAACCCCTCAGCCTGTGGAGGCAAAAACGTTATTTAAGCTTTAGTGGGCTGCGTTAAATTCTGCAATTTGAAGGGCTGTTAAGTTTTTCAATTGAAATTTCATTTAAAATGCAGGTGCTTTTTATTATATTGAGGCTTTACTGCTCTCTAGGTACAAGCAAGAACATGGTGCAAAAACACAAATCTGGCTCAATCACTGATCAGTAAGAGCTGTAATTCCAGAACATTTAGTATTCTTATAAACCATCTTGTGAAATCTATAAATCGTTGCAAGGGATCAAGAATGCTATGCCCACCTATTCTGCCCACAGCATTTTTGGTGTTTATGAGATTTTATGTTAACACTATATTTTATTGAAAATCTTTTGAAAATATATTCTTGAGTAATGTAATCATTTAAAAGAGTTTTCAAGGTTTTGTTGTTGTTGTTTCATAGACATTTTCAAAAGCAACAGTGCCAGGGACTTTGAGTTACATTCTACAGTACAATTGAAAGAAGGGGAAAAATAAGCTAGTCATGAAGTATTATATCAATATTTACTTCCCCCCCCTGATAAATCAGTGCATATCTTGCTTATAACAGCAATTACCCCTACGTAAATTTCTATGAAATTCCTGTGAAGACAGATTCTAGGTGCGTGGTTCTATAAATTGCAAAGTTACATATTAGAAAGGGCTTAAAATATACAAGGAATATTCAAAATTATTCCAGAAAGTTTTAGAAAACTTTGGATCTTCAAGTTTGTATTAAGATGAAATTTTTTTTCATTTCCATAGTTTCAAAAATGATAACTAGATTTAAATAATTTTGATTTTTTTTTAAAAAAAGGAAAACATCTTGTTAAAATTTAAGGTACAGAAGGTGATAATGAACTTAAAGCAATTCAGCTTTCAAGATTCATTTTCTACGGGGATGGTCAACAACTTACTAATTAGGCATCTATCTGGACAATTGGACTGCGGTTATCTGCAGGAAGGAAATAACCAAGCAGTTTGTTTTCTCTTATAATAAGTAAGATAAAGCTTTCATCCCTACTGCTAGTATTATGGGTATAACATTTGGGATAATGAGATGAACTTGTATTACAAACCCTTGCTGAGTTTAGACATAGCCCTTTTAACATTATCTGCTATAACTTATGAGAACAGAAGCTTAACTTAATTTTCTACTTTGCCTTGTTCTTCCCCCAAAAAAAACATTATAAAGGAAAGGATACCTTTTTTACCTTCATTTGCTACTGGTCTCTTTTTAAAATGGAAACACTTAAAAAAAGATAACTTAATTCAAACATGTCACACCCTTGACCTAAGAATCATTTTCATAGATGAAAGAGGACTAGGACGATACACTTATTATAGCAGATGCAGAAAAGGCAAGTCTTAGCACCCACAGCTCCTGACTGTTGTCTACAAAGATGACAACTGTGTACAAGAGACCCAGCCTGGGAACTCTGCCTCAAACACCTTTGTGCAAAAAGTTACAGAATAGAAAAATGGAGGAGTGTGCATGTTAAATAATTTGTTTAGGAAAAGGCTACAAACAGACTACTTCAGGGGCATCAAACTCATGGCCCGTGGGCTGGATGCATCATGTGCTGGAAACTCTTACCTCCAGTTTAGCAAAGGGGAAAAAAGTTGTGATATGTCACGTAATTGAAAGTTTGACACCCTGGACTACTTCAAGGAATCAGGTCTAACGAGACCAGCTTTCTTCAAAGTATACCTGTGAACATTTCCCATTTATAGGACCCACCTGAGTGTTTTTGGTACTGTGAGAACCTGAGGGGCGTATATCTTAGATTAAACCCAAAAGGCCTATTCAGAAATTTCTACTCTTGCCCAGAATAGTTGAAGTGAACTATCTTTCTTGGTTGCGTGTAAAGAGTTACTCAAACTATTGTACCTTTTTATTGTTTGTACCTGTTGATTGGGCAAAATGTGCATCATGGGACAACCATTTTTAAACCAAGGGACCTCAATTGGGCTAACTTACAGAATATGTCCAAAATCTGGAACCTATGAGTTTCGCAGGATTTGGCAAAATTGTGGCTACTTCAATGCTGCCGCCCTGGCATGTCAGCCATAGTCACTTAATTGGCATTTCTAGTGCTCTGTGCCAGCTTCTTACAAGAAAAGCTAATGGGGAAACTGGCAGGAATTTGGAAGTCACCCCCACTCCCCCTGCTTTTTTGCCTACCTATGGCTATTTAGTTTCAGTGTTTAGGTAAGGAAATAGTTCTGAAATGATGACCCAAAAGGTCATGGATTGCCTAAGGTTCTATGACAGTGGATGGTTCACTCTTGTAATTATTTCAAACTACCTGATACTCTATCTGAGTATCAGGGGTGGGTTTCTCACCCCATTCCAACTGGTTCGGTTGGAACGGGGCTGGCGGCATCCTCGTGCACGCGCGCGGTGCACGCATGTGTACTAGCATCTGTGCGATGCTCCAGCTGCTCCTGGAGGATCACGCAGGCGCTGTATGCATCCTGTGCATGCGTGGAAGCACGGAACTCGTCAAAACTGGGTAAGGAGTGTGGACGGGCGGGTGGGCCCTTCGCCGTTCCCAGAAGTTACTTACTTCCAGGTTCGCCGACCAACCGGTTCGCGGGGACCGCCGCGAACCGGTTGAATCCCATCCCTGCTGAGTATCCAGGACAAACAACACTCTGGAGAACTTGGAATTGGCCCTGCTGGAAAAAGAAGAATTAAAGTTTTATCTCATGATTTTGTTAGATGAATAGATGAACTTTGGCAGTCTGTCTCTGTCTGTGAAGACACCATCAGCTAGCATGATCCTGCTAGGTCATCACAATTATGTAAAACACAACTATTAACTATAATTGGAGTAGTTTGCTAATATAATAAAAAAGTTCTGAATATGGAAAAAAAGGTTCGCACCCAATAGCAGCAATCACTTTTTAAGTAAGAATTCATGGGTGAAATGACATGAAAAAGATGGTTATAAAATTTTAATGGAATGATAAAAGGCAAAAGTCAGCCTCTCAGCTGAATTCTTAAAATCTCTATATATCACAATCAGGTCCTTAACTGTAAAATCAATGTGGAATAGAACGTGTTGTCAATGCAGTTGTCACTGGATGGGAGCCTGCAAGAGTCTGACAGTGACACAGCCTCGCCTGCTAGGGCTGAAAATAAAATAATAAACTCCTGTTACTTATTAGGAATTGTTTATAGAGCCAACTACAGCAGATGAGGAGTGGAAGGGGAGGGGCATATCGCTTAATGCCTTTGATTGATTCTCAGGCTATTTCATTACAACATTAATACTGGAAGGTAGTTTCATTTTGCCAAATGAAATTATCTTTTATGGGAGGCTATTTTCCTTGTCTGCTTCAAAAGTTCAGACTCTATTTAAGAAAAGGAGGTATAAAATTATCATTAATCTTTTCTAATCATCTGACTAGAGACAAGTGTTTATTTACTTACTAGTGCAGAATTATCTTCCGATGGCCAGGCACGATGGGAATCATAGAATTTCTTGATATATGCAGTGGGCAACAGAAATAGATTATTGCATTTTAAAGGTAATGAGAGTTGTATACTTTTCAGAGGTTAGGCAGAGGTAAGGGACTGGTATTTAGTGAACTTTCCAGAGCAGAATTGTAAATGTAAATGTAATCAAACTTTGCAACTAATAGACTATAAAATGAGTTCCTGACAATTGCCACTTCTATGGTTAAAAAAACTATTTTTTAAAAAAAAATCTAACAATAATACTTAATATTTAAGAATCTATCCAGGTATGGATTTTGAAAGAATCCTGGTTAGTTTTTTAAACAGTTGTCTTTTAATAGTATTATGAGGGGGGGAAAAGTCTACTTGTCTTTTTCTAACAAAGACATTAAAAATCCAATGTAGGATTGGTAGGAATGGATCACAAGACATGTGCTACAAACAAAGGCAGAGTGTCCTATTGTCCCTGACAGATTTCACTGATGGGTTTGCTTTTCTGTCTACAATATCATTGTATTTATTACATTTCTAAAATGCTCCACAAATTCTGTTCCTGAATTCCATTGTGGTGTGTGTTTAAACTGGGGAACCCAGTTGGTGTATCCTGGTGCTAATGGAGCAATTTGTAATTGATTGTCTGTGAGTCAAAGAGTCAGTTTGGGACCGTCGCTCCCAAGAAAAGTTGTCTTAAGCAACAGAGTCTGATTTTCTGTGGATGGAGGTATTATTTATTGGTATTATTTAAGATCTAGAAAGGGATAATTGGATTGAACTTTGAATAACTTGAACCTTTCCTCCATATCCCTACATCCCGTCCCCATCTAATCTTAGTAATTTTAATTTTTACACATTCAGCTAAAATCAACAACAACTTTGGAATGAATTGAGGCACATACAAAAAGGCTTCAGGTGGCCTCATTTGGGGTCATGCATGTATTATAACCACAATATTGTTGCTATCTAGGTCTCAAGTGGTGAGCAGCTCTTGGTGAGAAGTTCATGAAATAGAGTCATTCTATGGCACAAATTGCAACACTAAATATTTAGTGTTTAGCATCCTTAGTTAAAAGAATCAAGTAATGGGAATGAGGTTAACAGGGTTGAAAAACTTTTTAGGATTACAGAATAATGAATGCACCAGAAAGTTATGATATCCTTCCAGGATGTGCACTTATTTATCTTTTGGTCTGAGATTTTCCTCTATTCTTAACAATGTATAGAAAAATTGAAATGTTTTGAAAGATAATATTAAAAAATATATAATAAAAATTATATAGGAGCCAGGTTCTTTTAACATTTATATCACCTGTAACGAGAATGTTTTTCAAAAACAGAGGACTTTGACCCGAATCTGCATGCAGCCTTACATAGTAGAAAAGCATAGTAATAGCTTCAGTAAGCGTAGTAAATGCTATAACCATTACATTGACTTTTACATTGTATGTCCTGCAAAAGTGTACGGTGTACTTTTTCAAGCTACTTACTATCCTCTTCTGTATCCATCAGAGTCCAGTTGCTGAATGTATCACCATATTCGTTGCAGGCAATAACCCTCAACTCATAAGATGTATGTGGCTGCAGGTTCTTCAGTATGTGATGTAAATAAATTGTTGGTTTAGAAAACAACCTAAAGCAAAAAAAATACATATTTTAAGATGTGAAATACAAGATCACAAGGGAATATGTATGGAGAGAAGTGCTGCATTTGAGATAAACCACAACACAGATCCGTTTGCATCTCTTCAGAATAAGAGTATTTATCTGCTTACTCTGTATTATTTTCTGGGCAGTTCTTAAGTCTTATTTGGAGTCGGTATCTGGGTGAGCCTGGAGCATTATTGCGAACTGGTGTAGACCAGAAAACCTGAAGACTGGTTGGACTGGCAGATGAAAGCCTAGGAGGCAACATGCCATCTGGAGCTGTTGGAAAAACATGGATGAATTAGAGCAGAGAAAGATGTGGGCAACATATGCTGGATAGAATCAAAATACTTAATACACTGGAAAACTAATATTGAGGATCTTCAGCAATTAAAGCACAGTTTAATTTAACATCTGTTTGTGCTACTGTAGTATTTGGCTACACTGTTCTTTTAATTATGTTATCATAGTACATCCATACTAATATAAATCCATGGATAGATTCATATGTGATGCTTTCACATTTATAATGCTGTGCATCTATCTTATCATCTGAAAACAACTGATTTGGCTCACCTGAGTCTGATTGCTATCGGTACAAGGGAGCTTAACAAATCAGCTTCAAAACCAATGACTAAAGATACCTGATTTTTCTATCCTCAGCTATTATAAGCTACATAATAAGCTATCTTGCATATTTCTAGTTCTAGTCACATGGTAAGCCAAGCATGATCAAAGGAGTGCAGTTATTGTACATGATAACATGACAACAATTATTAATTATATTAATTGCATACAAATCACATTTTATCCACATTTCAGGGTAGATGAAGATAGACCTTAAAAATCAATGAAGTTCTAAACAAAAATATAATAGCAATCACAATGAAACAAACAGAAAAAGAATAATCAAGCTAAAATGTCAAAAAGAGGTTTCAGCCTGATGCAGAAAGGAATTCACTGTTGGCCTTTATCTAAGAAGACATTCCAAAAACGAAGTGCAATTTCTATAGATAGAACATATGAGAACTCTTACTTGGGCTATTTTAACTATTACTGACTGATTAATAGCGACTTCTTTGATAATTAATAGCTTTCTTATTTTTCACAGTTTCAGTCACAAATTGACTTCTGTGGACCTTATTTCATACTTAACTGGTCGGTAGAGGGGGTGTGCATAAGTGCATTATTGTGCCTATCGTCCTGTCATTGTATTTTTATTCTCTTATTCTTGTTCTCATTTTTGTTTGACAAATTACAATAAATAAAAAATAATAAGAAATGGAGGAAATGCTGTTTTAAATATTGGAAGCCAATTAGACTTTAAATGTAAGAGTTACATTGGTACTTTTGACTGAGCTTGATGGCTGGGATTTAGAAGTCATTTTCAGAATTCAGACTTCTAAAATACACCTAAATGCTAGTTCTTACATTTGTGAGAGTTTTGAGAGCAGTTGTGAAATAGTGAAAATATTGGTAAACAGAACTGAAATTCTGTTGTGTGTGTTTAAACCAGGGGTCAGCAAACTTAAACACTCAAAGAGCCATTTAGACATGTCTCCTACAAAAAACACCGGGAGCCACAAAACTCTTTTGACATCTAAAATGAAGCTAGCACTGCACATATTATTTTTTTTTACCTCTATGCTATATATATATACAAACTATAGTGTGCTGCATTTAAGAAATCAATTAACTGCTACAGAGAAAATAAATTTTTATTTCTGCATGCAACCAAAACATTTTGAACTCCGAAAAAAAAGATGGGTCAAAATTGCATGCCGGAGGATATGTCACATTGGTGGTTGTGATACATATTTTGAGTAACAGGGAGCTGCAGCAGAGGGATGGACGAGCCACATGTGGCTCCAGAGCTGTGGGTTGCAGACCCCTGGTTTAAACAAATTCTGTACATGGAACACTTAATGTCCTGAGAATTTATTGATAATTAAACTTTCAAAGCCACCATTCCTGTTTCATAAGCCATGGTTTAAGAAGAGTGAAAAGAGTATTGGATTTTAGTATTGCTTCTCTGTACCTGTTCACTCTGCAGAGGAGAAGCTGGCCTCAGCATTAAATTTTTGCCTTGTCTTAATCCAGAGTCCCTATTAACGAATTTTGTAATAGTAAATTGCAAGTGCCTCAGAATACAAAAAAAGGGCAGCTTCTGTTGCCAAAAGGTTACCTGCTTCTGGTTTATATGTAGGGCAGTGTAGGTTGTTCCTATTGCATTAAAGGTTATCTATAAGCTATGTATAATTTCTGAAAGGCAACCTTCCACTCAGTCACCCTCCACACCTCCTGACTGCACTCCAAGGATCTAAATGAAATCTCTAATGCTTTTTTCAAGATATTTTGAAAAACTGGCTCCATTGTTAAACTAATCAAGAGTATCCAAACAGCTGATCACCTTTAACACTGGATTCTCGCTATTCAAAAATGTTGCATATTTTTATGAATAGAAACTTGATGTTCCCCCTTTCATTTCTTTAGTCCTAACATTTCCTATAAAGACTGGCTTCATACAAAAGCAATAATTATAAGCGAGCAATAATTTCTCTGCCACTTTCTTAATAGAAGAGCCGTTTACCTATCAGGATGATATACTGCCTCTAACAAACAATGCTACTTCAACTGCCTTTTTTGAAGTTTACTACATCCCTCAAGGGGCAACCACTCCATTGGTAACTTACTGAATCAACACATCTTGTCCAGTAAATGCTAAATTAGCATGGCAAAATAGCATGCATCAAGTATACAGAAAAAGTGCAATGGGTGAAGAATTTAATTTTATTTCTCCTTAGCAGCACAAACTAGTCAGTTTTGCTATTTTAGAGATTAGGCAAGGTTAAGATATTATATTCCACTGCAAATTCTCGGAAAGAAAGACAGGCTTTACATAAAAATAAATGAACTATTAAGAGATATGTACAGGTAAGTTACACGAGTGTCCATACATGTGGACCCAGAGAAATACCTTTGCAGCCCTAGTATATACCAATACGGCTAGTCTTAATCTGACTTAATAACGCTAATGATACTATATTAAGAAGATTTTGTTCTTCCTTCATTGACAAAATCTGATCAGTAAAACAGAATGAATGTTTAAGATTTTAAAATTTCTAATGTCTATCCAAATTGAGAATTTGGGGGTCCTGTTTGAAGGCTTTCGTCAAAATCTGGGGAAAATAAAAAGAAACGATCTTTTTATTACTGAATTTCAGTTGAGTTCTCTCTTTTTCTGACAGCTTTCCTTACATAGCAAAAATATACAAACTGGGATCAATGAAGTAAGATCATCTAAGAGGTGAGAATTTCATACAACTGGTGAACTTATCAAACTGAGATGTTTCTTTCTAAATAAGAAATTAAGATTTTAAATAATGCAATAAAATGTGTATGCAACAAATTCTTTACTGCCATTTCGGATTTGTCATATATTTTTCACACAGATAATGTGAAAACAAAAGTCACTGAAGAATACCTGAAAAAATTGAAGGAAATAAAAAGGTCATCATTTATTTATTTATTTATTTATTTATTTATTTATTTATTTAATCAATCAATCAATCAATCAATCAATCAATCAATCAATCAATCTATAGGGAAGTTCCTTTCATGTATAACTCTAAAATGACATAATAATAAAAGGAAAATAAAAAACACATTAACTAAAAGGAATAAACAATATGTAGCCAAATAATTACCTTTTTACACAAATTCATCTTAATCAGTATTCTAGTCCAATGTGTAGGAGAACAGCCATGTCTTAAATGTTCTACAAAAATTTGGCAAAATTAGGTCCTTCCTAATCTTAAGGGGTATTCTGTCCCATTGGACACACACTGTGACAGAAAAGGCATGCTTTTTGGTTTCCATCAGATTACATTTTTAAGTGAAAGGATTATCTTGTCTGGTAACATAGCCAGAGATAAACAGCTGGTTCTACAGGTAACCTAGTGCATGAGTGTCAAACTCATGGCATCATGTTGCCATCATGTGATTTTTGCAATGTTTTTCCCATTCGCAGAGCTGGGGTGGGTGTGGCCTGCCCGTGACGCATCCGGCCCATGGCCCACCAGTTTGACATCTTTGACCTAGCGCAATGCCAATAAGGACACTATAGATTGTATTTAGCATCTTGAATTATACTAAATTACAATAGAAAACTAGGTGTTTAAATACTAAGACTGACAAGCCAAACATGAGGTTACACACAGGAACTCCAACCAGTTATAATAATCCTGACAAATCAGGACATAAAATGTCAGGAATTGCCGAACAACTGAACAGAAACAATAAATCATCTCTGTTGAGCATCAATATGGACAAATGACCACTGACAAGAGACTACAATCATGGTGAAAGATAAAGGATGCCATATTTCCTATTTCGGTCTTTAGTATAGCAGACTGTAATACACCAGAGGACATTACTATAACCAGCACATAACCACTGAAATGATTATGGTATCAGCATAAACAAATATTACTTTGTGAATAATGACAAGCAGAACTACTTGCAAGTAATTTTGTAAATATATTCCAAGTAATAGTTTTGCTGATGTAGCTAAGCATGTAAAGTAATTGTAAATATATCTATAGAAAAAGATGACTGGCAGTTTTGTTAGGTGCTCACTTCTTGTAGCAGGTGTGTGGAATTGATAGTCAATTTCTTTAGCTTTCTTTCACAAGACTAGAACTTTCAGTATCCCTAATCACCACTCTTGTTGTCTGAGCTTGCAAATCATACAAGTACTATTTGCACGCATATTTATATGTTTATCATCCTTACTGAAACTGATGTGGTAAACTGTGCACAGAACTTTAAAAAATGCCAATAAGCAATTAGTTGACTGATTAATGATTATAAATACATGTCAGAGATACACTCAACAAAATTTATGGCTGTCCAGGAAAGCCAATTAGATGTCATGCTGTTTAAATAGATACCTAGCCAACAAGCCACAGAATAATGAGCTTCCAAAAGAAGAATTAAACAACAAAAATGCATCTATAAAGGACTTAATATGCCAAATCAAACTTATGAATACATTTCTTTAATAGAGCTCTCAATATTTACATTCTTCAAAAATTTATCAAAATCTCCTCCATTTAAAGATTCACTAATTGAAAAATAATCCAAGTATAATTTTATGGAATTATTATTAAACAACTGTATCTTTTCATACTGCTGAAGCTTATTGTGGTCAATTGATTGACTTGTTAATTTCTGCACCTGCCATCTTAAAACATAGTAGTTCACCAGATCATTTGATT